CGACCCCCACTCGGCGCTGCCCAGCACGGCCGAGAGGTTCCAGGCCAGGAACTGGAGGCAGCTCTCCTGCAGCGCCGCGTCCCCGATGCGCACGGCGTAGTGGTACCAGCCCACGACGTGGCCCTGGCTCGACTCGCTGGCCAAGTGGGTCTTCATGTAGTCGGCCACGCCGGGCTGCAGCCCCCACACCCGGTACTTGCTGGCCAGCTGGTGCATGGGGATGGCTTGGTGCAGCAGGATGGACACCCCCCCGCAGTACAGGTACCTGGGGCAGAGTGTGGGGCGATGATGCTCCTGTACCCTCATCCCCTTCCCAGCCCAGCCCCAGGCTCTGGCAGCGCAGTCCCCAGGGGAGCATCCTTCCTCCTGGGCTGCATCCATCCAGTGAGGTCCCTCTGGTCCCCAAGCGAGCATCCTCCCTCCTGGGCTGCATCCCTCCAGGCATCCCATCCCGTGGGGTCCCCATGGTCCCCAGGAAGCATCCTTCCTCCGGGGCTGTATCCCTCCAGGCATCTCCATCCCGTGGGGTCCTCATTGTCCCCAGAGGAGCATCCTCCCTCTTTGGCAGCATCCCTACCAGCATCCCCATCCCACGGGGTTCCCGTGGTCCCCGGAGGATCTACATCCCTCCTGATATCCCCATCCCATGGGGTGCCCACGTACCTGATAAACTTCTCAAAGAGCGCAGCCGTCTCGGGTGGCTCGTGCAGCGTGACGATGCTCTGGTTGCGCAGGAGGCTCTCAAAGACCTCGCTCTGGAGGCTGAGAAGCAGCTGGTGGGTATGGAAGACCTTGGCCTCGTCGGAGGCGGCCGTGCGCACCCGCAGCACCGAGTCGCTGCCGGAGAGCCCCCCCCGGCCGCTGCAGCAGTATCAGCGAGTGGTTGATGGTGGCCGCCGTGGCGTCGCCACTAAGGTCGGCTTTCTGGGCTGTGGGGAGATGGGACTGTCCCAGTGCTGCACCCCAGGAACCGGGTATGGGATGCTGGGGCACAGCAGAGTGGGGCCCAGCAGTGGGGTGATGTGTGGTTAATGGGGGGCTGGGGAAACCCAGTTCTGTGCCCATCCTCCCTCCGCTCCCCCCAGTGCCGAAGGGCTGGCTAGTGCCAAAGGGGTGCGGGGAGGAAGAGGGGACATGGGGACATTGGTGTCCTTGGGAGCCAAAAACCTGCTTTTCTGCAGCAGAAGGGGTGAGACCACCATGTCCCAAGCTGGGACGTGCTGGGAAATGGCTCTGTGCCGGGCAGCGCTGGATTGCAGCCCGGTCTGCCAGCCCCAATCCCACCCCCGGTGTGGGCAGAGCGAGCGCCAGGCATTGCCCCACATCCCAGACCGACACGTGGGGCACCGGAGAGACAGTGGGAGTGGGGACCCAGGCACGGTCTGCCCCCCACACCCGGGGACGGGGTCACTGCGGTCCGAGCAGCCTGGGGACACCGACTGCCCCGGCATCGCTGCGGGTTGGTGCCGCTGAGCAGGCAGCAGCCGCCCCGTGCCCGCTCCCGGTGGGATCCCTGCCTCCTCGCTGATCCCGTGAACCCGCACCTCCTGCCCGGCCACGTTTCGCTCCCCTCCTTCGGCTGCGTGTTTCGGCAGCCCAGAATGGCCCCGGCTTGCTTGACCGTCCCCCCGTGTCTGTGTCCCCGCAGTGCCGGGCTCCCGGGGGGGACAGGGACCAAGACAGGGGTCTCTGTGCTCCTGCAGGCATGAGGAGCCTTCCTCCCTCTCCTCCTCTCCCTCATGCCTGGCACAATTCCCACCCCCATCCCCGGAGCATCTTTCCCCCAGGGTGAATTTGGCCCCATCTCGCTCAAATCCCATCTTGCCGGTCGGTCGGTGAGCCGGCAGATTACCCTTCCCAGCACCGGCTTAAGCCCGTCTGAGCTGGGATGGGGAAGGGGATCGGGAGCCCCTCACCCTGCGGTGCCGGATATCGCTGCCCGCAACGCCGAGCCTTCCCTTGGCCAGCGGTGAGCACAGCGCGGCTCTCACCCCCAGCACCTCCCGGGGCACCGTGGGGCACAGCACGTCCAGGAGCCCCATCCATCCCTCCCCAAGAGCCACGACGGCTGGTGGAGAGCTGTGCTCAGCCTCCTACGGGCATCGCTGGACACCCACACCGCAGCCGAGCCCCA